TAAAAAAGTTTTAGCTATGTGATTTTTATTTGTTATTTATTTTTTTAATAAAATTATCAAATAAATATAATTATTAAATAATTTAATTATTAATATGTATAATTATTTTAACTTGGAGTCCGGAATCCTTTAAATACATTAACATTAAATACTTTAAATTCAAAGCGATTATCACAAAAAATAAAGTTTTGATTTAATATGAATTAAAACTATACAAGTAAACAGTAATTGTTTTTATAAAGATTTCATTATTAAACACCGTGATCAGTTTTTATCTATTACAAAATGTTTTTCCAAGAAATCAATGTCAGTAATATGTGACTTTAAATGTAAAATTAAGGTGTATTTAGAAATGATTTGACGGAAAAATGTTCCCATTGTACTAAATTTCAAATCATAAGGACAGGTAGTTTTCTCTGAAAGCACCAGTGATATAGATAGCAAAAACATCCGTTATTTAATTGTTAGTATATAAGGGCTGATAGTTTTGTATCAAAGATTGTATTTTAAAAGTAGACTTTTTTGTGGGAAACAATAACTCGGAAACAAATTGTAAAATGAAAATCATTATAGTTTTCGCTGCACTCGTGTGCTGTAAGTATAATAATAAAAATAATTTTAAAAAAACTTTTTGTTAAAATTAATAAATTTTATTTAAGATAATCTAGATAATTGTTTATCTAGAACAATTTTTAAATTAATAGTTTTTGCTGTTAATTATAGACTCGTTGGCGGCACCCACTGTAGCACCACCGGCCCCGACAACCGGTGCCCTGGGCACGACACGGACTGCCGACCCGGTCCGGGATCTGCTCATTAAACGCGGTGAGGAACTGGAGGCCCGGATTAAGGCCACTGTCAAGAAACTGACGGACGAGAAACGGGAGCACTTGGCGGGTGAGCTCCTGGCGGAGGAACAGCGTATCGAACCCCTGATCAATGAGTTGAAGACTACGAGTCCCGGACCGGAGGCCCTGAAACTCCTCGAGGCGGAGATCACCCGTATTGAGGATCGCGTGGAAATTGAGGTAATATTTTAGTAAATAATCAAGGTCATGATGTAAATAATAATTGAGCTTAAAAATTTAATCATTCTTTTTGTTCCAATTGTTTATACAATTTTATGATATTTATGTTAATTTATTTTTAGTTTATTGTTTCATTACAGTTTATACGTAATTATTATTTCTCATAAAATTTAACAGAACATTCAAAAGTATATTTAATACTATTTAAAAATTACTATTAACATTGTGCTTGTTAATCAATAAAATATTAGATGTATGAGAGTACCAAGCATACCCGCATTATAATATTTAAAGTACATCACAATACTTATATTTAATTGTTACAGTCTCAAACTTTCATAATTTATCAAATAAACATTTCTAGATTATAGTTTTTCAAGAACATTTACCTTTTTATGACCAAGTACAAATCAAAACTAAAATTAAATTAATTTCAATTATATAGGAGAGACTCATCGAGAAGGAGACGGAAACCCAGGAAACCCTACTTAAAAACGCCAAAACACTCAAGGAGTACGTGACCGAGGAGATCGCCATATTACAAAACGTGACTGGTGAGCACCGGCATCAGGCTGAACAGGCTGCCCGTGCCCTGCGCCGGGATGAACAACGTCTCGAGCAGTTGTCCGCTGAACTCGTGGACGCCCAGACACCCCGTCGTATTGCCGAGTATGAGGTGGAGCTCCGTACTATCGAAGTGCGAATTTATGAGGTGCTCAGGCAACTGGATTTTCACCCGGCTACACCCACCCCCGGTCCGGTTACAACAGTCCCGCCTACTACTACGTCAACCGGCACCTGTACCTATGTTCCAACGTCTACTACTAAAGCTTAATTAAGCGTGTTGATTTTGTTATGTTTAATAATTGATTGCATATGTAATATGCAATTGTTGTTGAATGTTTTATAATAAATTAGTAATTAAATAGTACATATTGTAACAGAGTGATTTTGCTTTATTATTAATTAATTGAAGAAACATTAAATAATTATAATTGTATAAATTATTAATTTAAAAAAGGTCTACCTATGTGTTTTATTTGTTATTTATTTTTTTGAAAAAACATCAAATAAATATACAGTAATTTTTAACTAACTTAATTATCAACTTATTGGAATCCCATAAATAAAATTTACACAACAAATGATCAAAGTAAACTTTACATTAACATTACATACTTGAAATGCAAAACAATTATAATATAAGACAAAGTTTTGATTTAATATAAATTAAAAACTATAGAAACACACAGTAATAATTTTTATAAAGATAACATTATTAAACACAATGATCAGATTATATCTATTACAAAATATTTTACTAAGACAAATATGTCAGAAATATACTATTTTAAACGTAAAATTAAGGTTTATTTAGAAATGATTAGATGGTTATCAATGTGAAAAATGTTCCCATTTAAAATTATTTTCTAATTAATATATTTTAAAACAATTTTACCTAGTTATAAAAATTAAGTTAGTAAATATATTTCTAAAAATAATAAGTTAAGAATCGCATCAATAAATACAAATTTTTAAAAAATAATATACATGTACATTAATTTCAAATAAAACTTTACGACAGTTTTAAATAAAACACCTTTTAATTACAGACTCATTGGCAGCTCCGGCCCCACCCGCCCCTACCACCTCTGGCCCGGTGGGCACGACCCGTTTCCCTGTTAATGTATACAGGGATCAGCTGATCAAACGCAGCGAGGCATTGAGGGCCCGGATTAAGGCCACTGTCAAGAAACTGGTGGACGAGGAACGGGAGCACTTGGCGGGTGAGCTCCTGGCGGAGGAACAGCGTATCGCAGCCCTGATCAATGAGCTGAAGACTACTAGTCCCGGACCGGAGGCCCTTAGACTTCTCGAGGCCGAGATCGGTCGTGTTGAGGATCGCGTGGCGATAAAGGTAAAGGGGTTTTGGCGATGAGTTATTATATAACTTAAAGTTAATTCAAAAAATTTAAGATAACAAACAAGGTTGCTATATAGAATTTGTAAATAAAATTTATGTTTGCTTAAAAATTTGATTTTTCTGCTAATTTCCGATAATGTATAAATTATTGTCATATTTATGTCAATGTATTTCTAGTTTATTTACCGTGTACAGTGTATATTTGATTTATTATTTCCCATTAAAGATAGATTACTGTACTTTATATGAGTATATAAAGTAATAATATAAGTTATAATATTTAGAAAATAATATAAAACTTTTATTCAATATTAACTTTCGCAATCTAAACATAAATGCCGTAAATCATATACTTGGTTAAATCAGTTGGTTAAAAAATTTATTTAGCTTTTTATAATCCAGTACAAATAAAATATAAATATTTAAAAATAAGTTGATTTTAATTATACAGGAGAGACTCATCGACAGGGAAACCGAAACACAGGAAACCCTACTTAATTGCGCCAAACACTCAAGGAGTACGTGACCTAGGAGATTGCCATATTACAAAACGTGACTGGTGAGCACCGGCATCAGGCTGAACAGGCTGCCCGTGCCCTGCGCCGGGATAAACTCCGTCTCGAGCAGGTGGCCATTGAACTCGTGGACGCCCAGACACCCCGCCATATCGGCGAATATGAGGTGGAGCTCCGTACTATCGAAGTCCGAATTTATGAGGTGCTCAGACAACTGGATTTTCACCCGGCTACACCTACCCCCGGTCCGGTTACAACAGTCCCGCCTACTACTACGACACCGTCAACCGGCACCTGTACCTTTACTTCCAACGACTACTACTAAAGCTTAATTTAGCGCTTTGATTTTTGTTATGTTTAATAATTGATTGCATATGTACAGTATTATGCATTTGTAGTTGAATTTAGTATAATAAATTAGTAATTAAGTAATTCATACTGTATTAGTGTGATTTTGCTTTATTACTAATTAATTGAATAAGGATCAAATAATTATAATTATTAACTAATATGTACTACAAAATATACTGTATATTTTATAAATTATTTTAAATTTAAAGTTATGAGTTTTATCAAGCTTAAAAATATTTTATTTTTAATTTTATGAAACTTACAAAATATAAATGAAATAAATAATTTATTATCTAATCATAAACAATTTAATAAAATAATTAATACAACAGCTTATTGAAATCCCATACATAATTTATAATAAACGTAATAAATTAAGTAATTTTAAAAATAAATACAATTTTAAAACTTTGCTTAAAACAAAATGAAAATTTTATTACTAATTTTGGTTATACCGGTAAGTTTAGTCTATTGTGAATAATGTATTCACTATTTTATTTATTTTATGTTTACAGGTTTTCATACATGCCAGGTCATTTAAATCGGCCTATGATACCATACAGCGAGATACTGTTAAAATAGCCCTAGAATTAGTAGCTGAGGACCTAGAGCATAAATTGGACCAGGCTATTGTAAAAGCAACTGGGCACAAACATGGTCAAGTTAAAATAACTGATCTAGATTTATTGTCTGATGAACTGGATAAAATTGATGTTCAAAGTAATTTGACATTTGAACTACGAGAATCGGACCTAGATCGTATTTATGATCAGTTTGCTAAAGATATTATACCAGGTAAATACTCAGTTAATTATATATCTCAATTTATTATAATAATTTAATATTTAAGTTGGCATTGTGTTGGGTTTATTGAGAAATATTAACCAAGGTCATTTAGATATATTCTGATTTTTAAACTATGTCAATCACTTTTATCATAGCAATCAGATATAAGTTAAATGCTATTAACAGTAAAAATTAGAAATGATTTTGACATTCACTTATCATTATGTGCCTAATTATGGGAATTAGGCCATAAGTCCAAGCTCACATTAGCTATTTATTAATAATCTTTTGGATTTAGCTGAATTTATATTATTCTAGAAAATATTATAATAAGCAAACAAATATACATTTGATAAATATATCAAGTAAAGGCTTAAGTGATAATCACCAGATCTAATGTATCCTGTTGGTGTGTAAATAATCATATTTGTGACAGGTGATTTTTTCGGCACAATCATAAACTGATAAATTGATTTTACTCAATTAAAATTAAAATTTTAAAATCAAATTTATTTTAACCCAACAGCACTAAAATTTATATATCCTTAATAAATCAACTAGATTCTATTGCAATCATAGTGTTAATCCCTTTTCATTACCGCCTACTTAATATCCTTATAGTCATCAACTAAATGACAAAGATTATTTTGATTTTATTTACTTAATACATATGAAACTTTATTTTGCGAACGTTTCAAAACAGGGTTAATCTAATCGCAGTTCTCAAGTAGAAAATGATTTTAATGATAGTGCCAGGGTATAAATAAATAAGGTAATAGACACTGCTCAACCAGACAGTAAATATTTAATTATTTTTTAGGTCTATTAAATTTACACTAATACAGTAGTAATTATGAAAGGTTATATAGCATTTGCTATTTTATCTGTGTGTATTTGCTGTAAGTATTACCTCGTTTAATTTATAAATTATTTATTGTATAAGTTTTTGTATTATTTATTGTAATAGTTTATTTATTTATTTACGTGCTTAATTTTTACATTTTAAAATATTTATTTAAAAAATTATATTTAAAAATTTTATATTAATAGATTAAAATTAAATTAGCGTGTAGATAGTAGCAAATTTCAAACCTTGTCATTAATATAATTAATCAATGCCATACAAATTATTAAATTAATTGTTTAATTAAAAACTAAATAACTTTTTAACATATAATTCACAGCAACGGTAGCGCCCCCACCTACCACACAACCACCACATACAGTACCTACAGTACCAACCACAAAGCCTACCGTACCAACCACAAAGCCTCCCGGACCACCAACAACACAACCACCCCCAACCAAGCCACCAACCACTCCCATACCCCTGGACAAGGACGCCCTACTGAAAAAAGCAGCCGAACTCGACAAACTGGCCAAGGACGAAATCGACAAGTTTGACAAACTGTCACGTCGTGCACTGGTATCCAACATCGAGAGCTTGGACCAGACTATCCTGGATTTGGCCGCTAAGATCAAGACTACCTCCGGTGTACTGCCCCTCCAGGTGCTCGAGTCGCAGCTGTATTGGTTGGAAACGGAGTTGGGAGTGGAGATCGACGCAATCGAATCGGCCTATAATAGGATCATGAAGATGGTGAACGACGCCCAGGTATTAGACGCCCGAATCGATAAAGGTATCGCTAAGGTGGGCCCCGACACCCCCGTTGGTAAGGCCCTCAAAGAGGAGAAGGAGTCGCTCGCAAAAGTGGTGAATAGTTTAAGAGCGGCCACGGATGCGAGAACCATATCGGTGCTCGAGTTTGACCTGGCTCTCATCGAGGAGAGGGTTAATACTGAGCTGCCACCTGGATACTAAATATGTTATTAATAAATTCAAATAAATAGTTATACAAATAAATTGTATTTGCTCAATTTATTTAATTATAATCATATATAAATATGTTTTATTACTAGGTTTTAATATTGGTATAAATTTAATACCGAACTTAATTCAGGATACTAAAATGTGTGTTTTCTAAAATTATATAAATAAATAATTATTTTAGTAAACTAATAATAATAATATTATTATCATAAAATTTAAACTATAAATGCTATTATTAGTGATTGTAAATAGACAACAATTCGCATACATAATTTAATCAATTCTTATATCTAGACACTTATAAAATTAGATTTAAAATCCTTTGTATACAATAATTTTTATATACTGGCATAATCAATTATATAAACAATATATTATTAAGCGAATGTACGTTTTCTAAATTAATTAATGATGGTCATAACGTAATTAAAAGTACTACTTTGTAAAATTATAACTATTTTACTAGCACCACAAACTTGCAATTCACTTTATTTCTATTTATAATTTTAGGTGTTTCTAATAGCCGGGTCACTCCATATAAAACTCTGCATTCGCCCTCCAAAGAGGAACTGGAGGCCAGGGCTACCAAACTTGAGGAGCGCCTGGAGAAACTGAGAGGCGATAACCGTATCGACATCCGCGAGATGGCCACCATTGACCTGTACGACGCTGAGCTCCGGGTGCTGTCGGCTGAGCTCGACCTTGCGGTAGCCCAACGCGAGATCCAGAACCTCGAGGTCCGACTGAACGACCTGGAGATTCGGGTGGACGCCGAGATCAAGCGTTTAGAGCAGCTGTTGGATCCCACCCCTGCCCCCCGTCACCCACTAAAACACCCGCACCTACCTCGCTACCAACCAAAGTAACACTAGCACCGATACCACCTACTGCCCAGTCCCCTAGCACTACCCAAACTCCACATAAACTGATAAATTGATTATACTCAATCAAAATTTAAATTTTATAATCAAATTTTATTTATAACTCAAAGAACTAAAATTAATATATCCTTTATATATCAACTAGATCCTATTGTAATCCTAGTGTTAATCCTTTTTCATGAACGCCTACCTAATATCCTTATAGTCATCAACTAACTGACAAGGATTATTTTGATTTTATTTATTAATACTTAATACATATAAAACTTTTTTGCCGACGTATCTAAATAAGGTTAATCTAATCGCAGTTCTCAAGTAGAAAAATTGATTTTGTGTGATAGTACCAGGGTATAAATAATATGTAATAGACATTGCTCAGTCTGACAGTTAATATTTAATTATTTTTTAGGTCTACTAAATTTACATTAATAGTAATTATGAAAGGTTATATAGCATTTGCTATTTTATCTGTGTGTATTTGCTGTAAGTATTACCTTGTTTAATTTATAAATTATTTACTGTATAACTAATAGTTTATTCTATATTTACGTACTTAATTTTTACATTATAAAATATTTATTTAAAAAATTGTATTCAAAAATTTTATATTAATTAATTAAAGTAAAGTATCATGTAGCTAATTGCAAATTTCAAACTTTGTAAGTAATATTATTAATCAATGCGATAGAAATTATTAAATTAATTGTTTAATTAAAAACTAAAAAACTTTTTAACATATAATTCACAGCAACGGTAGCGCCACCACCTACCACACAACCACCCCCAACCAAGCCACCCACCACCCCCATACCCCTGGACAAGGACGCCCTACTGAAAAAGGCGGCCGAACTCGACAAACTGGCCAAGGACGAAATCGACAAGTTTGACAAACTGTCACGTCGGGCACTGGTATCCAACATCGAGAGCCTGGACCAGACTATCCTGGATTTGGCCGCTAAGATCAAGACTACCTCCGGTGTACTGCCCCTCCAGGTGCTCGAGTCGCAGCTGTATTGGTTGGAAACGGAGTTGGGAGTGGAGATCGACGCCATCGAATCGGCCTATAATAGGATCATGAAGATGGTGAACGACGCCCAGGTATTAGACGCCCGGATCGATAAGGGTATCATTAAGATGGGTCCCGACACCCCCGTGGGTAAGGCCCTCAAAGAGGAGAAGGAGTCGCTCGCAAAAGTGGTGAATAGTTTAAGGGCGGCCACGGATGAGAGAACCATACGGGTGCTCGAGTTTGACCTGGCTCTCATCGAGGAGAGAGTTAATACTGAGCTGCCACCTGGATACTAATTATGTCATTTTAATAATAATACGTAAAAATAAATAGTTGTCTTTATTTAATTGAATTTGCTTACTTTATTTAATTACAATCATGGATATTTTATTTTTATTTATGATAGTTAATATTATATTGATATAGACATGAATAATTAAATATGTTTTATAATATAATATATATATATATATAATTATTTTATTAAACTAATAATTCATGAATATTATTATTAATAATATAAAGCTACTGTATAAGTGCTTTACTTGAGATTGTAACTAGATCGTGATGACATTTGTATTTTATAATTTAATCAATTGTTATCTAGACACTCGTAATTTTATAAGATTTTAGAACCTTTTCTACGAATTCTTTTTAATATTATAAGTTATTTAGATTTATATAAATATAATCAGGTATTAAAATAATATATTATTTAACTCGGTTAATATCCATAAAACTAATTAATAGTGTTTGTAATATAATTTAAATCTACAATAATCTACATTTTTATATGTATAATAAATATAGATATAGCTACATGTAGTACACTAATTAAACATTTATTATTATTATTATAATAAACATAATAAACAAACAATTCACTTTCTAAAATAATATATTTTTAGATACTCCTAATAGCCGGGTCAAATAATAAGTCACATAAATACTTATACAAATAAATTGTATTTGTTCACGTTATTTAATTATAATCATGAATATTTTATTACTAGAGGTTATTCCTATTATTAAAAATTAATGTCAAATAATATTAAATTAATATTTAACTTGGATCTGGATACTAAAATAATATATGCTTTATAAATTTATTTAAATCAACAGATAATTTATTAAACTAATAATTCATTAATACTATTATCATTAGAGATTGTAAATAGATCACGATGACATTTATGTTTTATAATTTAATCAATTGCTTATCTAGACACTCGTAATTTTATATGATTTTAAATCCTGTTATATAAATTTTTTATATAATAACTTATTAATATTTATATAATCAGTTATTAAAATAGTATATTATATAGCTCAGTTAATATTCATAAATTTAATCAATAGTGTTTGTAAAATAATTTAAATCTACAATAATCTATATAATTCTAGTTATTAAATACAGTACGAACAAGTACAAATATGAAGTTATTTATTCGAATATTATTGCTACAGGTTAAATATTTATTATTATTATTATAAAACAAACACATAATAAACTAACAATTCACTTTTTCAAATAATCAATTTTTTAGGTATTCCTAATAGCCGGATCATTACAAGATAATTATGACAATACACTAGATTTCCCCACTAAAGAGGAACTGGAGGCCAGAGTAGTCGAACTCAAAGATAGCTTGGAGAAAGACGCCGCCCGACTGAGAGGCGACCCCCGTATCGACACCCGCGAGTTGGCCACCCTTGACCTGTACGACACCGAACTCCGGGTGCTGTCGACCGACCTCCACATCGAAACGGATCACAAAAGGATCCTGAGTTTATTGGTCCAACTGGACGACCTGGTGATCCGAGTGGACGTCGAGATCAATCGTTTAGAACAACTATTGGATCGCCTACCTGTCCCGTCACCCACTAAAGCACCCGCACCTACCCCGGCACCCACTAGAGCACACTCACCTACCCAGGCACACACTAAATCACCCGCACCTACCCAAGTACCCACTAAAATTACAACGACACAACTATCCACCACCAACCCCTCTATCACTACCCAAACCCCACTGGACAAGGATGCCCTACTGAAAAAGGCGGCCGAACTCGACAAACTGGCCAAGGACGAAATCACCAAGTTTGACAAACAACAACGTCGAGCACTGGTAGCTAATATCGAGAGCCTGAACCAGAATATCCAGGATTTGACCGCCAAGATGAATACCACGTCGGGTGTACTACCCCTCCAGGTGCTCGAGTCGCAGCTATTTTGGTTGGAACGGTAGTTGGGAGTAGAGATCGACGCCATCGAAGCGACCTATAATATGGCCTATATTATCTGATGAACTTGATAAAATTAATATTCAAAATTATTTAACATTTGAACTACGAGAATCGGTCCTAGATCTTATTTATAATCAATTTGCTAGAGATATTAACCAGGTAAATATACAATTAACTATATTTTTATATATTATAATTATTTACAGTAATATCTGAGTTATCATTATGTTAGATTTATTAAGAAATATTAACCAAGGTCACTTAGCTATATTCTGATTTTTAAAATATGTCAATCACTTTTATCATAGCAATCAGATATAAGTTAAATTAGATTAACGGTACAAATTGAAAATATTAGCTCACATTAGCTATTAATTAATAATCTTTTGAATTTAACTTCAATTGATTTTATTCTAGAAAATATTATAATAAGCAAACAAATATACATTTGATACTTATATGAAGTAAAGGCTTAATTGATAATCACCTGATCTAATGTATCCTGTTGGTGTGTAAATAACCATATTTGTGACAGGTGATTTTTATCGGCACAATCATAAACTGATAAATTGATTTTACTTAATTAAAATTTAAATTTTAAAATCAAATTTATTTTAACCCACGAGCACTAAAATTAATATATCCTTAATATATCAACTAGATCCTATTGCAATCCTAGTGTTAATCCCTTTTCATTAACGCCTACCTAATATCCCTATAGTCATCAACTAAATGACAAAGATTATATTAATTTTATTTACTTAATACGATATAAAACTTTATTTTGCAAACGTTTCTAAACAGGGTTAATCTAATCGTAGTTTTCAAGTAGAAAAATTGATTTTATGTGATAGTACCAGGGTATAAATAAATATGTAATAGACATTCCTCAGTCAGACAGTAAATATTTAATTATTTTTTGGTCTACTAAATTTACATTAATAGTAATTATGAAAGGTTATATAGCATTTGCTATTTTATCTGTGTGTATTTGCTGTAAGTATTACCTTGTTTAATTTATAAATTATTTACTGTAGTTAATTTATTTATTTATATTTTATATTAGTTATTTCAAAAATTGTATTTAAAAATTTTATATTAATAAATTTAACTTCAAGTAGCGTGTAGCTAGTTGCAAATTTTTAAACCTGAAATTAATAGTATTATTAAACTATTTGTTTAACTATTCATTAAAACACTTTTATCTTATAATTCACAGCAACGGTAGCGCCCCCACCAACGACACAACCACCGCCACCGTCACCCACAAAGCCTCCCTCACCAACTACTACAGCCATACCCTTGGACAAGGATGCCCTACTGAAAAGGGCTGCCGAACTCGACAAACTGGCCAAGGACGAAATCGCCAAGTTTGACAAACTGCAACGTCGGGCACTGGTATCCAACGTCGAGAGCCTGGACCAGACTCTCCTGGATTTGGCCGCCAAGATCAACACTACCTCCGGCGTACTGCCCCTCCAGGTGCTCGAGTCGCAGCTATTTTGGTTGGAGCGGGAGTTGACACTGGAGATCGACGCCATCGAAGCGGCCTATAATATGGTCGTAAAGTTGCTGAACAACGCCCAGCTTTTAGACGCCCGGATCGATAAGGGTATCCAAAAGGTAGGCCCCGACACACCCGTGGGTAAGGCCCTCAAGGAGGAGAAGGAGTCGCTCACGAAAGTGGTGAATCAGTTAAAGGCGGCCACGGATGCGAGAACCATACAGGTGCTCGAGTTTGACCTGGCTCTCATCGAGGAGAGAGTTAATACTGAGGTTCCACCTAGACACTAAATGTGTTATAAATAGATTCAAATAAATATTTCTACTAATAAATTGTATTTGTTCACTTTATTTAATTATAATCATATATAGATATATTTTATTACTAGGTATTAACAGTAGTATTAATTTAATACCAAACTTAAATCTGGATATTAAAATGTGCTTTTATAATATTATATAAATAAATAATTATTTTATTAAACTAATAATTCATGAATGTTATTATCGTAAAATTTAACAATAAGTGCTATTATTAGTGATTATAAATAGACCACAATTCACATACGTAATTTAATCAATTTTTTATCTAGACACTTATAATAAAATTAGATTTAAAATCCTTTGTCTTCAATTTTTATATATAACCACTATAATATATAAACATTATATTATTAAGTGGAAGTACGTTTTATAAATTAATTTATAGTGGTCATAACGTAATTAAAATTTATACTACTTTGTAACATTATAACTATTAACTAGCACCATAATGAAAATGTATATTTTGATATTATAGCTACAGGTATGTTGACAAAAATTAGTCTAATTTATAATAAAATACTAATAAAGTTGCAATTCACCTTATTTCTATTTATAATTTTATGTGTTTCTAATAGCCGGGTCACTACATATTAATTATGACAAAACTCTGGATTTTCCCACCAAAGTGGAACTGGATGCCATAGCTGCCAAACTTTATAATGTCATTTAAAATGTAAAATATGCATGTCACCAGTGACTTTAATTAGATTAACTGGACAAGTTGATGATATTGGCCAAGTTTGATCAATTCAAATGGTAGATATGATCATATGATTCATTAACCATAAGCACAAAATTTATTTATTTCAACATCATAAAAATATCAAAAATATTTACATAATATAAAATTATAAGTATTTATATCAATATTAATTTGCAAATAATTTATTAATAGTCTCTCTCGACCCATATTAAACCAATTAAGTAAACAAAATTACGTGGTTACCTGGCTACACCAATAAATTAATTTCGATCAATTGTTGAAAAAAAATCATTAATTGTGCATATGATTGATTACGATCAATAGTACTAATAAGTACACAAATTATACTAACAAGGTACACTTTTTAAAAGATACTACTTTTGAAATTGGAGTTTAATGTGGTGGAGGTTTTTTACTACAGTATAAGTGTTTAATATGAAGGGGTGGACACTATGTGACAATTAGGGGAAAGTTATCTGATGTATAAAGTCGTGTGCTATTCGGGCTATAAATACAGCTAAAGTCTGTCTGAATAATTCAATCATCTCGATCATCCAATTCATAAAATTTATACAACTTATAAAGTATTTAAAAATATAAATATGAAATATTTAATTGTACTAACCGCTTGTATTTGTGGTAAGTAAATGAGCTATGCACATTAAAAAATTTAAACCTTCCCTAATTATTTATAACTTGGCTTGTATAGACAATGATCCTTTTTATATATTATTCATACTAAATTATACTAATCTTATTAATAATCTTATTAATTAATTTAATATAATTTATTATAAAAAAATATATATAAGGAACTTGTTTATATACTATTGTATAATAAGTATATTAATTTTACATAATATTGTAGGGGTGTTGTGCGCCACCACTCAGGCCCGGGCACCACTCCGCTGTCCAAAGCGGCACTGGAGGCGAGAGCCGCCCAACTGGAGGAGCGACTGGAGAAAGACGCCGCCCGACTGAGAGCCGACCCCCATATGGACATCCGCGAGTTGGCTACCCTTGACCTGTACAACGCTGAGCTCAGGGTGCTGTTGTCCGAGCTCTACCTCGCAGTCACGCCAACGGAAATCCAGAACCTTGAGGTCCGACTGAACGATTTGGAGATCCGAGTGGACGCCGAGCTCAAGCGATTGGAGCAACTATTGGATCCCACCCCTGCCCCGTCACCCACTAAAACACCCGCACCTACCTCGGTACCAACCAAATTAACACTAGGACCGACAATATCAACTACCCAGCCCCCTAGCACTACCCAAACCCCACTGGACAAGGATGCCCTGCTGAGAATGGCGGCCGAACTCGACATTCATTAAACTAAATTCATTAATTTTAATTTAAACTTTATTACAGTTTTATATTTAAAACAGTTATAATCACAGATTTTGTTTCAACCCTGGTCCCAACCATTGTCCCAACCTTTGCCCCACCCTAGCTCCATACGCACCTACCAATTCCACACCGGTGTGCACCACAAAATCCCCTGTCGATGTATACAGGGATCAGCTGATCAAACGCAGCGAGGCATTGGAGGTCCGGATTAAGGCCACTGTCAAGAAACTGGTGGACAAGAAACGGGAGCACTTGGCGGATGAGCTCCTGGCAGAGGAATAGTGTATCGAAGCCCTGACTAATGAGTTGAAGACTACGAGTCCCGAACCGGAGGTCCTGAAACTGCTGGAGGAGGAGATCGTCCGTATCGATCAGCGCGTGGAGATCGAGGTTAAGGGGTTTTGGCGATGAGTTTTTTATATGACTTAAGATTAATTTAAGAAAAATTTAAGTTAATAATCAAGGTAACGATCTAGATTTTGTAAATTATAATTAAACTTGTATAAAAATCATAAGCTTTGTGTGCAACTATATTTTGAGATTTTATAGCAATATATTTCTAATTTATTTATGATGTACAGTTAAGACATTATTTATTTCCGATAAAAGACAAAAATAATAATAATTTACAATTTATAAATTAATAGTAATACAATACAAATCATTTAAAAATTTAAATATAGATTTTATGAATTATAAATGAATTTGTTGGAATTATTATTAAATTTTGTTACGATCTACTAGGTTATAAAATTTTTATATATTGAAGTAATTTACGTTTTTGGTTATTTATGATGTACAGTTTATACATGAATTATTGTCTCATTCTTTGCAAAACAATTGTATATTATATATTTATAAAATTAATAATTAAAAAAGAGATTTATACAGTTAATTACAGATTTAGCGGACGTGTGATACCCATTATGTATAGCGAATTATAAAATTTAAAAATAATATATTACTTATATTTAATACTGTACAGTCTATATTAACTTGTAAAAACTAACCACTAACTATAAATTTCATACTGTATATCATGTGAATAGCTTATAGTGCGTATTTAATTTAATACAATAGTACCTTTTATTTATATTTTATTTTCCAAAATTAACATTTATGACCAAGTACAAATAAATTTTAAAATGTTTATAACTACAAATAAATTGATTTTTATTATACAGGAGAGACTCATCGAAAAGGAGACGGAAGCCCAGGAAACTCTACTTAAAAACACATAATTGAGCTTGTTGATTTGGTTTTAAAATAAATTGTTTTATTTAAAAATTGATTGTTTATGTGATATGCAATTGTTGCTGAATAAATTATTAATTACAAAATTTCTATCTATGTGGTAATAGTTATGTGCAAATAAGTACTGTATAATTTTTAATTAATTTAATTATTAACGTGCATAATTATTTTAACTTGGAGTCATNAATTAACTGTATAAATCTCTTTTTTAATTATTAATTTTATAAATATATAATATACAATTGCTTTGCAAAGAATGAGACAATAATTCATGTATAAACTGTACATCATAAATAACCAAAAACGTAAATTACTTCAATATATAAAAATTTTATAACCTAGTAGATCGTAACAAAATTTAATAATAATTCCAACAAATTCATTTATAATTCATAAAATCTATATTTAAATTTTTAAATGATTTGTATTGTATTACTATTAATTTATAAATTGTAAATTATTATTATTTTTGTCTTTTATCGGAAATAAATAATGTCTTAACTGTACATCATAAATAAATTAGAAATATATTGCTATAAAATCTCAAAATATAGTTGCACACAAAGCTTATGATTTTTATACAAGTTTAATTATAATTTACAAAATCTAGATCGTTACCTTGATTATTAACTTAAATTTTTCTTAAATTAATCTTAAGTCATATAAAAAACTCATCGCCAAAACCCCACTGGACAAGGATGCCCTGCTGAGAATGGCGGCCGAACTCGACATTCATTAAACTAAATTCATTAATTTTAATTTAAACTTTATTACAGTTTTATATTTAAAACAGTTATAATCACAGATTTTGTTTCAACCCTGGTCCCAACCATTGTCCCAACCTTTGCCCCACCCTAGCTCCATACGCACCTACCAATTCCACACCGGTGTGCACCACAAAATCCCCTGTCGATGTATACAGGGATCAGCTGATCAAACGCAGCGAGGCATTGGAGGTCCGGATTAAGGCCACTGTCAAGAAACTGGTGGACAAGAAACGGGAGCACTTGGCGGATGAGCTCCTGGCAGAGGAATAGTGTATCGAAGCCCTGACTAATGAGTTGAAGACTACGAGTCCCGAACCGGAGGTCCTGAAACTGCTGGAGGAGGAGATCGTCCGTATCGATCAGCGCGTGGAGATCGAGGTTAAGGGGTTTTGGCGATGAGTTTTTTATATGACTTAAGATTAATTTAAGAAAAATTTAAGTTAATAATCAAGGTAACGATCTAGATTTTGTAAATTATAATTAAACTTGTATAAAAATCATAAGCTTTGTGTGCAACTATATTTTGAGATTTTATAGCAATATATTTCTAATTTATTTATGATGTACAGTTAAGACATTATTTATTTCCGATAAAAGACAAAAATAATAATAATTTACAATTTATAAATTAATAGTAATACAATACAAATCATTTAAAAATTTAAATATAGATTTTATGAATTATAAATGAATTTGTTGGAATTATTATTAAATTTTGTTACGATCTACTAGGTTATAAATTTTTTATATATTGAAGTAATTTACGTTTTTGGTTATTTATGATGTACAGTTTATACATGAATTATTGTCTCATTCTTTGCAAAACAATTGTATATTATATATTTATAAAATTAATAATTAAAAAAGAGATTTATACAGTTAATTACAGATTTAGCGGACGTGTGATACCCATTATGTATAGCGAATTATAAAATTTAAAAATAATATATTACTTATATTTAATACTGTACAGTCTATATTAACTTGTAAAAACTAACCACTAACTATAAATTTCATACTGTATATCATGTGAATAGCTTATAGTGCGTATTTAATTTAATACAATAGTACCTTTTATTTATATTTTATTTTCCAAAATTAACATTTATGACCAAGTACAAATAAATTTTAAAATGTTTATAACTACAAATAAATTGATTTTTATTATACAGGAGAGACTCATCGAAAAGGAGACGGAAGCCCAGGAAACTCTACTTAAAAACACATAATTGAGCTTGTTGATTTGGTTTTAAAATAAATTGTTTTATTTAAAAATTGATTGTTTATGTGATATGCAATTGTTGCTGAATAAATTATTAATTACAAAATTTCTATCTATGTGGTAATAGTTATGTGCAAATAAGTACTGTATAATTTTTAATTAATTTAATTATTAACGTGCATAATTATTTTAACTTGGAGTCATAAATTGTTTTATATACGGTAGTGTAAAAATAAAATTAATATTATTAAATTTATAGAACCACAAAATATAAAATAAATTATAATTTTTATCTAATCATAAACAATTTAATAAATAAATTAATATAACAGCTTATTGAAATCTCAT